ATGCTCTTTTCTCTATGCGCTCTGTGCCAATTGGAGGAATGTGTCTTGTCTATTTATAAAGTGTGAACGCAATAATTAACTTAAACATATCGTATCAGTACGACCAGTTAACAGTAAAACTGGCTAAGCCGCACCATCCTGAAAGCGAGGCCCCGTTTAGTATTATTCCTATGTCTACAGCTTTGCCGACAAGTCCCTGCCGCGAATCAAAACCCTCTACGTTTTTGTCTAGCTAAGTATACTGAGTGAATCCCCCAAAAAAAAAAAGGGGAGCCCGGGGATGTAAAAAAACTTTTAAAATAGTACAAAAATGATCGTTTCACAAATATTTCAATAAAAAAATGGCATAAAAATATATGTATGAATATTTTGAAATGACACAAAAATATCATACCCGTTGAGCCAATCAATATTATCTATTTTCACCCCCAACTACTCCATCCTCGACCATGAAATCTTTTTGCATGATGCAATATTATATTAACTAACCTAATCCAATGGTGAGAATGCGAAGTGGGGACTTTAAAAGCATATAAGCTTTCCAACTTTAACAAGGATCCTTGTTAAGTTTTTAAAATGCAGTGTCATTTTCCCTGCACTTTATGGTAATTTAAGCTCTGTTTGTCATTATGATCGAAATTACTTATAAACATGTTTTATGTAAGCCGAAACAAAATTTTTCTCACAAATTTAATTTGTATTCCATAAAGCACGATTGAAAAACTGTTTATAAGCTATTCCAAACATACTCTCAATCTCCATATATATATATATATATATCTATAATTTGCCAATATGTGCAATTGTCAACTTCTAGCCTTACGTACACTTACTATAACTTCAATAAAAATGATTCACCATATTCATGTTGATATGATTTTGGAAAGAAAGTGACCCGATATGTCATTATGCATAAAGTAAATATATTTATTTTTAATGAATGAAAATTTCAGTAGATCAAATCACAATTCGACTGAGGGGCGTTTTAGACATTTCACTCATATTTCATATTTGTAAAAGTGGGACCCTGTTCTTATTTGCTATTTTCTAAATTTAGAATCCCAAATCGCAATTTGACATATTAGGGATCTTTATTTGCAATTTCTTTTTTAAACTTTTTATCAAAAAATAAGTTATTTACATAATAATTTAATTATCTAAAATTTACATAATAAAAATAAGTTTTATCAAAAATTTTGGGAAAAACTACAATCAATTATTTAAAAAATTTAAAAGATAATTATTTGAAATTAGAAAATCAAAACACTAGACGACAAAATTAAATCTAAATAATCTAGATATCATTTTGATACTAAACAACGGCGCTATCCATATTCCCATGGACCAGCAGCTGGTATAATTAGGCAGTTTTGGGTTTTTATTAATAATAATCAGATAAAATCAGTGTTCACTTCACTTTCAATACGGATTCTATTCTTGAACCTTTCCTCAGTCTCAACTCTGAGTTTTCCTAATTATTGTAAATTTTCCTCATTATTATTTTTGGGGCCAAAACTTGTTTTTAGTTGCTCGCCATTACAATGACGACAAATGAATAAAACCCAGAAGAGGTATTTAGAGACAAAAGATAATTAACTTCCATGTTTAATTTTGACAATTGTGGACGAGGATTTGAATATTAACAACAACAAAAATAATTTATAAATTGTAATGTATACATTTTTTTAAAATGTATTTTTATTTGTTAATTATTTTAATTAGCAGAAGTATTATTTTATTATACTTTTCGCTGATATGAGTTATGAGAGTTTTTAATCATCTATTGTATACTTTGGTATTTATTAATTTTTTCAGGCAATGCAATTCTGACTCAAAATTTAATTAAGACGGTCCAGTGGTCCACTGTCCACATGGATATGGGAAAAAATTAAACATAAATTAAGGTATCTTCCTCAGATCAAACTCTGTGCAACTTATTCTCAACAAAGACTAAAAAATGGCTCATAGTTCTAGCACATTAAAAAAGGCACCGTCCAATTGTGAAGCTTGCAAAAATATTATTTCTAGTACTATATTTATTTTTTTAAGGGGAAAAAGAAGTACTATATTTGCTTTCAATTAATCGTGAAGGCTATGTGTCACAACATTCTTAATAAAGAGTTCTGAAATTTGGCAAAATAAGGAGTATTAGTTTATTCTTTTCGGGTAAGATTTTCAACAATAATCTTATTCAGTATGACTTTATTCCAAAAAAAAAAGACTAATGAAGAAAAACGATGAATTAATAAAGAGTTCTGAAATTTGGCAAAAAAAAAAAGAAAGAAAGAGAGAGTTCTGAAAAATTAATAAACAAGTTTATATCAATATAGTCCCCATCACGTCAGTTCAATGCCGCAAGCAAAAATAAAAAATAAAAGAAATTGTATTTTTTCCCCTAAACTCACAAAATTTGTCTGCACGATCTTCCCGGAGAATGAATTAATGATTAAGAATTACTTAGATTTTCTAAAAAAATTTCCCGAATATTTTCTAAAATTTTAAGTCAAAACTTCTCATCCTTATTTTTAAATCCATATTTTTATCTTATAAATCTATTTTATTCCTTCCATTTTTTCAATCAGTAGTTAATAATCTTTTCTTTAAAATGCCTTTAACAAGTATTAATAAAAATTAAGAACTAGTCATTCTCATATTTTTCATGTGAGATATCATATTAAATAAGGGTCAATATAAAAAAAACTGTATTTTTAATAATATTAACTGATTTGTTAAGGTATAAAAACGCATTCAAAATATTATAGTAATAATTAAAAGATTTAATCATTCGACAAGTTTGCCTATTTTTGTTTTTACTGTCGAAGCATTTCAAAAGATACACACTGAAAAAGAGAAATGAGAAAATAATGATGTTGATAATTAATAATAAGACAGTAACTATCCTTCTTTGTTTTAGGTTTAATAAATTAAATGTTCTTTTGAAAAATAGTTTTTAAGTTAATTCTATTTTGGTTAAGAAGTTTGTAAATCTTTCTGGAAAAATGCATCTATTAGCATGAGGGTATTACTGCTGAAAAACAATTTTCTTTTGTATTTTGATTTCCAGATAAATAATTTATTTTAAAAAATATATAAACAGTTTGGTAAGCCAAATTAACCAACAAGGTTAAAAAAAAAAAAGAAGAAGCCAAATTAACCAAGTATCAAGCATAAAATCCTCTGGATTTGATCCGAAGAGAAAACGTTAATAATAATTCTTTAGTGACATACACTCAATTAGTATCATCATCATTATCCTAAGGGCTTTTCCTATTTTATCATCATTGACTTTAGAACGTACCTTTCACTTTTCCCACTTGCTGTTGATTAGTTCATAAGCAAACATCTGGTAAGGGCAGATTTTACTTTTCCTAATTATATCCAACCCTTTAAAAAAATTAATACCACCTCTAATTTTTATTATAAGAATTAATTAACTGATTTAAATAGATTAAATTTTTTTGTTAATTTGGTTACTTATAATAAATGTCCTTACTAATCATGTGTATTAGTTAGAACTTAAAACTTCCATTTAATGAAACTTTTAACATGTGTAACTACTACAAGAATTACTTTGATAAAATTAGATAAATATAAAAACAGAATCAATTAGAATCTTATGTTTAAAACCAAATTATAAATCAAAATAGCTCTTAAATTATAAACTGGAGGCAGTACCTTTTATGCAATTATGGGATTTATGGAGCCCTATTTTTATAGAGTTCAAGTTCAGCTAGGGTTAATGTTCCTTACCACTCATTTTTTTTAATTCATGACATTTAAATTCTGAAGTTTATTAAAAGACAATTAAGCTTCCCCCCCCCCCAAAAAAAAAATCCAAGTCTCCAACCATACTCGTTTTGAATTTCTTTCTTTCTTACCAAGCTGCAATGACCTTCCACTCGCTAGTTTTGCTTCATTTATAGATTTTAAGAGTATTGTAGAATACTAGTATTTTGATTTTCTCTGAATTTTTTCAGACTTGCAATAAATTTTGTGTTACTTTTCTGGTTCGAACTTGATTATTTGAAATTTCTATCAAATTAAAATATTTTATATATAAAATATGGAAATTAAATAACTCAGTTCCTACATAAAAACAAATAATTTAATTGAGTAATAAATATGAGAACGCTGTAAAATGTATTTATAATAAAATGAATTTAGGTTAGTTGAATTTTAAAAGCCAGATTGTGATAAATACCGTGACTTAAAGAGCAAATTTTTGTTCGACCATGGACTTAAAGAGCAATTGTTGAGAGCTAATTTGATATATTATGTAGTCCATAAATTAGGAAATTATAATGTGGAAAGTCTAAGATTTTAAAAAAAAGTACTAAAAATAAAACGGGCACAGCTAATGCAACTATGAAAAATGCCAGCAAACTTTCTAGCAAGACTATTATCGGATTTTCCGGGGACGCGTTATGGAGCGATTTTTTTTTAGTTTTCTAATTTTAATTTCATAAACTAAATATCAATCTGTATTGGTCCCCAAAAAAAAAAAAAGTTGTGCTGTGCATTATTTTCAGAAAGCAACACCGGTTCTTCCGGTTCTCGGTAACGTCTTCTCGAGATGGAATCGAGTCTACTGTTCCACAACGCCCACAACTGGAAATGAGATAATCCAGTTTAATCAATGCCTGGATTTTCTCATCCCTGAAAAACCCAAGAATTATTCAGGCCAAGAAAACCGAAAACAAAGTTATATTAAAAAATTAATTGGGATTTAAATTTAGATTAGTTTAAATTTAAGAAGGGATTTTCCCCTATCTTGGCTAATCATATATTCAGAGACAGCCTTCCCAGTTACTCTCTAGTTACTGCGACACCTGTCATCTACTAGCCTCGCCCAATTATCCCGCCTGGCTTCCAAATTTAGATGATATTAGATTTTTTCATTTCTGTAAGTGTTTTCTTTTTCCCCTCAATAAATTCTGACACACAACACGCGCACACACTGCCCTTTCTCTCACCTAAATCCGTGTGTGTGTGCAGTTTCTCTCTCCTCCACTCTGGCCGTCCTTCACGCGCATTCTTATCGTTTCTTTGTGGGGTGACCACTATATATAATCCCTTCTCTCTATGGGCTATCTTAGCAGATGCAGCGAAATTAGTCGCCTTTTTAAATTTTTCTTCTGCATCTGTGTGAGCCTGTCTGGTTGTTCCTTTCTTTCTCGCCAATCAATCCTTTATTCTTTCTTTCGTTTTCAAGCCAAAAATCCAATCGTTCCGCTTCATCGACAACAATACCAGAAGAGCTAGTGTTATCTTCTCTGCTTTTTATTTTTTTTTCCCAATTAAGTTTTTCTTTTTCGAGTTTTTCTCCTTATTTTTCAAACTGGGGAAGCAAATGCCGTCATTAGAGGATGATCTGTTTCCTTCTACGCCGGGCAAATTCAAGATCGAGAGGGCTCACACCATGAATCGTCAGATGTACCGGTGTTTTGCCTCCACCAGCACCATGTTCTTGTGGGCCCTCTTCCTTATTGCGTTGACGGCTTCCTATTTGAGCTTCCAGGGTTTCGTGGATTCCGGCAGCCGCTACTTGTCGGCCTCTTGGGGAGGAATCCAGTGGGAGAAACAGGTTCGGGACTCAGCTCAGATCCACCGCAACGGAGGTATGTCCGTGCTTGTCACCGGAGCTGCTGGTTTCGTCGGCACCCACGTTTCCCTCGCCCTTAAGCGACGTGGAGACGGCCTAGTTGGAATCGACAACTTCAATAACTACTACGATCCTTCGTTGAAGAAAGCTCGGAAAGCGCTTCTAAATAGTCATGGCGTATTCATCGTTGAAGGGGACATCAATGACGCCAAGCTTCTGGCTAAGCTCTTCGACACCGTTGCCTTCACGCACGTAATGCACTTGGCGGCTCAAGCCGGTGTTAGGTATGCTATGGAGAACCCACACTCCTATGTCCACAGCAACATCGCAGGCCTCGTCACGCTTCTGGAGGTTTGCAAATCGGCGAATCCTCAGCCGGCTGTTGTCTGGGCCTCCTCCAGCTCCGTCTACGGCCTGAACGAGAAGGTGCCATTCTCGGAATCAGATCGGACTGACCAACCTGCTAGTCTCTACGCCGCCACCAAGAAAGCCGGCGAAGAAATCACCCACACCTACAACCACATCTACGGTTTGTCCATCACCGGGTTGAGATTCTTCACTGTATACGGACCCTGGGGCAGACCCGATATGGCTTACTTCTCGTTCACTAGGAACATCCTCCAAGGCAAACCAATCACAATATATCGCGGAAAGAATCGGGTCGACCTGGCCCGAGATTTCACCTACATCGACGACATAGTGAAGGGTTGCATCGGATCGCTGGACACTGCAGGGAAGAGCACCGGATCGGGTGGCAAGAAGCGCGGACCCGCACCGTACCGAATCTTCAACCTCGGGAACACATCGCCGGTGACTGTACCTAAATTAGTGAGTATCCTTGAGAGTCACTTGAAGGTAAAGGCGAAGAGGAAGATCGTGGACATGCCCGGAAACGGCGACGTTCCGTTCACACACGCCAACATCAGCTCGGCCCGAAGAGAACTCGGGTACAAGCCAACAACCGATTTGCAAACCGGGTTGAAAAAGTTCGCGAAGTGGTATCTTTCTTATTATGGCTACAATCACGGCAAATCTGTAAATTAATTATATATTTTTTCCTCGTAGTCTTCTAGAGTTTTCTGTCATTGGGAAAAAAAAAAAAAAAAAAGAACGAAGGAAGAAACAAGATTTGGAAAAGAAGAAAGAAGGAATACATTCTTTACTTAATTAACAGAGCAGCAAAAAGAAGCTGGTGCTCTCTCTCTCTCAGTTGTAAGTTCTGGATTTTGTATTATTATTTTTGGATTTCACATTTTCATCGCAAGTTAATGGAAAAGCTCAAGCTTGATTTCTCCTCTATTTGATCTTCTCTTTTTTTAATTTTTTTTTTTGGTTGAATGTTCTTCTCTTCATTATAGGACAAAGTGTTACATTTAATATATCTAAATTTATATATAAAAGAAATTAATGGCAGAAAATTGGAAGTATGCCAACCGCAGGGAGTATTATGGGTCAGTGCGGTTTGTGAGGCACGATGGATTGCAGAAGTATGCCAAGCGCTGGAAGTATTACGGAGAGTATATTACACAGAAGATGACGGTGGGGGTATATTAGTTTTTTCAGGGTTGGGGGAGGGGGATTTACAGTGGAGTGTATATGGAGAAATGGCAGACAGCTAAGAGGAAAGTGACAGCTGGTACAATTGGGAGATACGGCTGGGCGCTAGGGCCCACAGAGGAGGGGGAGTGTGAGCAGTAGCCGTTGGATTTGGGTGAATCAGATGAGCGGTCAGATCCAGCTGTAAAGTCTCCGTACCTAATAAAGACCGAAAGAAAAATAAAAGTACAGACAAAAACAACCGATAAAGATAAGAAAGTCTTAGGACTTTGTTATAGGCTGTCGTCAAGGGAAAAAAATGAAAAAGGTTCTACTTTGTAAATCTTTTATTTTATTTTTTTGAGAATTTTGAGAATTTAAGTTTAATCTTGCCATTAAATTAGTACGACTATCTGTTGAGCAAAAGGATGCGTGACTGTATCGTGGAGTTTTTCTTGAAAAAAATGTGACAAATTTTGTTTGCAAACATTTAGGAAAAAATTTTTTTAAAAAATGAGTGTTGAATTTTAAAATTTCAAATTAGAGTTAGTATAAAAATATGTTGTCATTTGTTTTTTAAATATAATTATTGTCCTTACAAGTATAGTAATCAATACTAAATTGAAAATTGAAAATTTAACAATTTTTTTTGGTCAAAAAATCATTTATATAATTTTAATACTTGGGAAAATACGCATGTGATCATCTTAACACTTGCGAAAATAACTTTCATATCTAGGACGTGAATATTTTATGTATTTCCAATTATGTATCTCTAAAATATGAAATTAATTTAAGCCTGTTTGTTATGATTTAATTTGACATTACGGAGTTTTAATGGTATAGATTATTGCTCAGAAATTCTGGTATTTTTTGAAGACGTGCTTACCAATTTTCAAAGGAAAATTGAGGGGGAAATTTTTTCTCTTCTTTTGAAAAAGACTTGACGGTGCCAAGTTAGAGGTGAATCTGTATATAATTTGTAGATTGAAGATATGGGCCTGGGTTTGGTAGTGGGGCCTATTGTTTTGTTGTTGTGAATGTTAATGTACTTGTCTCAGTCTTACCCCATTGACACGTTATTCTTGAGAAGTATTACCTCCGATGTTAAATAAAAAAACTAGTTAATTAATTTTAAAAAAATTAACAAAATAATTAATTTATTTATTTGAAATAAATATATATGATTTTTTCTAAAATATTCTTACTGATCAAGTGTATTGGTTAGAACTAACATTATTAGAAGAACTATCTTGGGAAAAAATATATAAATATGAAAAACAAAGTGAATTGGAGTCTTATATTTAAGACCAAAATAAAAATCAAACAAGATCTTATATTAAGGACTGAAAGTAGTAATTAATTGATCGTGAAAATATTTATAAGAAATTATAACGTATGATTTTAAGGTTAATATCATAAATTTAAAATATTTTGGTTACATTTTAAGTACTTTTCTTTAATGTGAAATAAAAACATGAATGACAAGATCTATTATCTGTTATTGATAAAATAACATGAAGTTATACCGATACCTATGTTGTTCACTTTTTCTCAAATTACGTATTACTTCTTGATAATAAAAAAAAAACCATCTATTACTATTAATTCCTCCGAAGTGTTTGTTAAACATAGAAAATGATGTCATGTGTGAGATTTTTCTAAGACGATGTTGGATTATTGGCGTGGTTTCGTTCTTATCTGTTCTTTTTTTGTTTTTAATTATTTGAAGAGTGTGGGAGGGAGATCCAATGGACGTTGAGGAGGTGGATTTGGCTTTAGTCGGTGTTGCCATCACTAGTCATTGATTTGCGTAATACTACACTTAATTAGGACCGGGAGGTAGTAATTATTGGGACTGTCAATGATTAACTGGGGACACTTTGGGAATTTTAAGATCCGCCTTCAAAGAAAAAAGAAAAAATCTATCAATTTTATGATATCTCTTATATACTCATTATACTCTCAGTATAAGTTTAATCCTACACTTAAAAAATCTTCAAAAAATATTTAGTTCGAAATTAAAATTAAAATTGAATAATAGTTGTAATATAAGACGTTTAAATTCACCGACACCCCGTGGCCTCGCTTTAAGCATGTTAAGCACGTGGGCTTGCTGCTCAGCTGGCAGGCATTTTTGACCACGTGGCACAAGTAACCACACAATACAAAACCAATCATCATTCTTTTCACCTATGTACGTCTGAACCGTAAGGACATCAATTAAATTGCACTATGCTTTATCTTTTATCATTTCTTTATATTTTTACATTAAATCTTATAATTCGTAGGTGATCAGGATTATTATTTATTCCTCAAATGAACCATTCATTAGAGTTTTTCGTTGCGTTTTTTTTCTTTTGGAAAAATATCCTTATCACTGTATTTCCGTATTTTGAGTGTAATTTTTTATCTTGGTTCAAATTTTAATTTCTGCACTAACTAGAATTTTTTTGGGGGAAAAGTACCGAACTGCATGAGAATTTTAGGGCTTGTTTGGTTTTTTGTTTTAAAAAACAATTTTTTGTTTTTTGAAAAACAGAAAAACAAAAAAAAACTTGTTTGGCAATTTATTTTTAGTTATTTTTTTAAAAAACAAAAAACAAAAATATATTTTTAAAAACTGAAAAATCAAAACAACTTTTACAGGTTTTCTTGTTTTTGTTGTGTTTTTTTTATTTTTATTTTGAGAAATTGGAAAAATTTTCTTCTCTTTTCCTGTACTACCTACTACTTATCACAATCGATGATAACTATTACTTGTCAAAGTATAATTTTTTATATTTTTTTAAATGTGATTTTTTTAAAATTATTTTCTAAACAAATTTTTTTATTTTTTGTTTCCAAAACTTATTCTAAAAAACAATTTTATAAAATTGTTTTGAGAATAACGAAAACAAACAGGCCTTTAATTTCTTTCCTAGTCAGCGCAAAAGCGACAAAATTGATGTTAATAACTTTTAAATATAAAGCTATAATTATACGGCCTTTGGAATAATAATTAAGCTATTGACAAGGAACAAAGTGATACGCAATAATTCTCTACCCAGAAAAAAAAAAAGTGCTTCCCAATAATTGTTACTTTATCACATATATACCAACAATGAAACTTATCGTCAAAGATTTTCCTTGGTTGTCTTTGAATAACTCTCTCTCTATATATGTACTTTTTTGCCAACCTCCATTTACATACACATACATATATAAATCATACTGTCTCTTATTTTTAATATAAAAGCTAATTAAATAATTTAAATAAATTAAAAAAATTAATTAGTTAATTAATTATAATAAATATATGTTGTCTTTCTAAGATATTCTTACTAATCATATGTATTTGTTGATAAAACATTTAACACGTGTAAGTAATATAAAGATTACTTTAAAAAAATGAATATAAGAGATAAAATGAATTAAGATCTTGTATTTATATCCAAATTAAATATCAAATTAACTATTATATTAAATATCAAAGATAGTATGAATACTTCTCAGCCAAAAAATGTGTGTATATATAGAGGGCAAAGGTGTTGCATTGTTCTATTTTGGCGTCACACATCGTTTTATTTCTGCATACAGATTTAACTTTAAAAAAGTTTTAGAAAATCCTTATTGAAAATCTTACTGATAAAAATAATCTAAATTATAATACCATTAAAATTTATAGAATATTTACTGTATAACCAATATTGACTAATAGGGAGAATCCAAAAAGCTTGAAAATAACATAGTACTTTCTGTGTATAAAATTTATCAAGCCTTTCTCATCACCAATAAAATTTTCAATATTTTTCCTAGTTTTTCTTTTAAAACTATTAATTAGGACGAGAAATTTAAAAAATAGAAAAATATAAAATTACAATGAATGACCAAAATACAAATTAATTCTATAGTAACTTGATTATAAATAGATTGATATGCTACCAGATGATAACTTCTCTAAATGACGGCAAAAAAAAAAAAAATCTCTAAAGCTACTTTTAGTCCTAATTATAAAAACTAGTTGACTAATTTGAGGAGATTAAAAAAGAAGTTAAGTTAGTTATTTGTAATAAATAGTATTGTTTTTTCTAAAATATCCTTGCTAATGAAGTGTATTGGCTAGAATTATCATTGTTAGAAAGACTACCTTGAAAAAAAAATACATAAATATGATAGACAAAGTAGATTGGGCTCTTATATTTAGGATCAAAATAAAAGTCAAACAAATCTTATATTAAAGACCAGGGCTAGTATTATTGCAATCCATTGATATACCATCAATCAAATTAAACTCTTGAAATGCCATAGTATTATCATTTAAGTAGTCGCATTAAGAACACATTCTAGATATGCCATAGCAGTACAATTTCCCCCAGATTTCATCCCCTCATATTTTAAAAAGTTTTCACCGACAGATAATTTCTAATGTGAAAAATTTAAATGATAGTAAAAGATTAGAGCCGACAAACACTGAGAAGGTGTGTCAAAACATAATATATCTACAATTTGATATCCACTAATCTTCTAATGAAAGCAACACTTTTAATTAAGAGGTTCATACTATAATAACATTTTTAAAACAGCAACAACAAAAATTGGGTCCTTCGCTATAATTTGTGAAAAGAAAAAGCAAAGCGCGTGGGAGGAAGCATTGTGTATTTGTGTGTAGGGACTAGGGAGTGCCATGCTGTCAAACAAGCTGATTAATTTTATGATGTAAAGATAAAGGGGAGCTTTGAATTGATTATGTTCATAAAATTAATTTAGGAATTGATTCATCA